CTTCAATTGTTTAAATTAATTAAAAAATATAATAAAATCCCGAAAAAATTTTTATCTTTTAAAAATGCTTACAAATGAAAGATAAAATAATTTAAAAAATAATTTAAAATAAAAATAAATAAAATTAAAGTTAAAGAATTTACTTGTTTTTTTGGGAAGATTATAATTAGATGTCGAACCAGGGCCGGATCCAGTTGTATCTGGGTTTTTTGATAAAACCCGGATTTTCTGGATATTGTAGATTTTGATCCGGAAAGTCCTATCCGATAAAAATTTTTATTGAAATCCGGAAACCGGATCCGGAATTTTGGAAATCTCGAACTTATAATAAAAAGAAAAAAATTTTAAAAATCAATTTAATCTTGTTGTTTTTTCAAGTCACGGGGCAGAGTAGAGACGTGCGAGACCGAAAATTTTCCAAGACCAAGACTACAAGACTACTACAAGACTACCAAGACTACTACTACCAAGACTACAAACCAAGACTACACCCCAAGACCAAGACCCAAGACCAAGACTACACCCCAAGACCAAGACCCAAGACCAAGACTACACCCCAAGACCAAGACCCAAGACCAAAACCAAGAGCGAAAAAAACCCAAGAAAATTCTTGGAAAAAAGTCCAAGACCAAGAGTCTCGCACGTCTCTAGGGTAGAGGCAATCATTTCAAATAAAAAAATTTTTCAGTAAAAACTCAAATCATCCATACTATAATTTAATTGTTCATAATCATCATTATAATCATGGATTATTTCCACTACTTTCTCCTTTTTCAAAATTTATAGTATTTCGACAAAATGGACATTTAAAACTATTTAAATGTTTTGTACTAATTTGATTCGTATTTACCCAAGTAATTAAACAAACTTGATGAAGATAATGTCCACAATTAAGCTTAATAATTTGTTGACCAATTTTATTTTCTGCTTCACAGAAACATAATTTTTTGTCTTTAGGAATTTGATCTTTATTTTGATAAACAAAACTATTTATAATAATATCTCTAATAATAGTTTCACGTGCGTTTTTCTTAAAATAAATTAATTATTTCAAAAAAATTTAATTCATGTAGTTTAGAGGTCGGTGCGAGACGGGGTCCTGTCCAGCAATCCCGCATTTTTTCGATTTGCGGGACTTATTCCGCAAATACGATTTACCGACCTCTAATTAAGTTTATCATTACCCCCGCTGTATTTTTGGGGAAATCCTCGCTACGGAGTAAAATTAAAAACAATTCTATTTACCACTATCCCTCACCCTTCCCATTACTGAAATAATTTTTTATTGTAAGACAGAATCGAATCCCGAAGGTAATACTGGGTTAATTATATATTTTGTATCCAGGTTCAATGTCCAATTTTATTTCCAATATTTTCTATGTGACAAGCAATTTATCCCTCCCACTTTACAACTATTTACTTCCTTTGTTCTCACTTACAGTTAGTTCAGTTGCTAGCTTTCCCTTTTATTCTATTATGTTTTAGTTAACTTATATATTATTGTTTTTATTTTCCTAGTTTGTAAATAAAACTTTTTATTACTTCGGTGTGTTTCGGTGTTGGGAAGAATCCGAAGGACTTGATCAACACTAAGGAGCTTCTAGGAATGTCCCTATCACATCTTCCCCGTTACAATATCCCTTAACATCTGGGTATGGTTCAGCCGCTTCGGCGCAGAGTATAAATAATTAAGGAGAAAGAACACCCACCAGGGATCCCATTTACTTTATTAAATTATTATTTTAATTTTTTTTCTTATCTAAAAATTTAATTAAAAAATTTACATCAAAATTTGTATTTATTATTTCTTTAATATGTTCCATTTCAGAATATACACTTTGAAAATAAGTTTGTAGATAATTAGATGCTTGATCAGTATTCATTGATCTTATAGCATCTCTAAGTTGTTGATGATTACCTCTAATTCCAGCTGATTTCATAGCTCTAACAAGAAGTTTTTTATCCTATAATTTAAATAAAAAAATTTTTTTTAAAGATAATAATTTGTTAAATAATTTTGGCTTAGGTTAATGACTAGGGTGCGGCAAAACATGCAAATGCATATTTTGTATGCGGATATGCCATGAGCTGAAACGCTCGAAAATGGTGTTTTTATGTCCGTACGAACATTAGGGACCGAGATCTTACAGCATATTTTTGCATATTTCAGTACTTCCGTGCATATTTGCATATTTGTGCATGTTTTGGCACCCTATTAATGACATTAAAAAATATTTTTTACATTTAATGCTCTTTTAAAGAGTTGACTTTGTTCATCATACATACTAAACATTTTATTTAAATCTTCATATAATATTTTATATCGGTCTCCAATAGATTTATCCCCATATGTATAAGACAAATCTACATATTCTTCATCGGTAAATGCAGCATTTAAATGTTTATTTAAACAAATAAATAAAATAAAAATAAATAAAAGTTTTAATTTAAATAATTTAAACATTTTTTTAAATTTAATTTTTGAATGAATTTAATTTTTAAATTAATTTAATTAAAATTAACTAATTTTGAAGCTTATTTTATATTAAAATTTTTGGAAATTAAAAAAAAATTTTTTTAATTTTTTAAAATTTTCTATCATGCGCAAGAAGCCCTGCAAGAGGCCCTGCCCTTGCGTTTCCCCTTAAGCCCACCCACACATTTTTAAATTAATAAAAAATTTTTTAAATTGGCATTTCCATTTTTTAATGACTCGAGACTTGATTAAATTAATTTTTAAATCTCGGAAAAAAACCCCGAAAAAATTTTTATAAAAAAATATTAGTTAATTAAAAATATATTTTTAATTGCCAAAATTAACTGTAAGGATAACCCAGCAGTATTTAAAACGCTTAGGCGGGGGTTAAACGATCTAAAAAGGAAGAGAAAGCATTTGTCGATGGCCCGGTAGCTCAGAGGTAGAGCTCCTTTTGTTGTGTGGAAGCGACTAGCAATCACTACGAGGAGGTCGCAGGTTCGAATCCTGCCCGTTGGCTATTGCAAACTCTTTCTTAACTTTTTTAGTCTAAAAAATTTAAATTTAATTTTAAAAAATTTTTAAAATTTTTCTAAAAATTTAAAGGTTTTATTCAGACCTGTGCATGGACACGGATATGGATACAAATAATATCAGGATGCCTGCGGATATCCGTCTGTATCCGCTGTAAATATCCGGATATGGATACCAAAATCCGTGTCCATGCACAGGTCTGGTTTTATTCTCTAAAAAAATAATAAATTAAATAATTAATCAAAAAAATTTAAATTTAACTTTAAAAAACCTCAAGAAATAAATTAGATAATTAAATTCTCAAAATAATTTTTTAATTTTAATTATTTAAATAAATAATTCTCGAGACTTTAATTTATATAATTTAAAAAATTTCTCGAATTAAATTTTTTGAGAAAAAAATTTTTTTTCACTGCTACTACTTCCGGCGCCTATCTCCCTCCCTGCTACTACCTCCCTGCTACCTACTTCCGGCGCCTTTCCATTGTTTTATTTAATTAAATTTTTTATTTTAATATCTTACTCCCACTCGTTTAACCTTTTAATTTATTTTATTAAATGCTCTTTCCTTTTATTTATTATTTTGCAAAAAAAATTATTAATTATTAACTATTTCCAATTTTTCTTTTAATTTTAAATCTCCTCATATTCACCGTATATCCTTTAATAACTACCCTGGGTAATTATTGTTTCAATCTATCACTGGAGGGGTAATAATTTGAATAAATAATAAAATAAAATATAAAAATAAATAATTAAATTTAATAGACATTTTATTTTAAATTTAATTTTTTTAAAAGAAATATTAAATTTTTATTTTAATTGAATTAAAGGAGGGATTTAAATAATAAATTTATTGTTGCCTGAGCAAATATATTTTTTTTAATTTTATTTTTTAATTTATTTAAAAATTATTTTTAAAGTTTGTATAGGTGTCCTTTTTTAATTTTTTTAAATTTTAGTTTTTTAATTTAGATAAAAAGTTTTTTAAATTTTTATAGACTTCCTTATTTTATTTAAATTTAAAGCTTTTTATGTTTATATAGCTTTAAATATATTAACTCAAAATTTAAAATATATTTTTTAAAGTGTCAAAAAAGATTACGTGGATTTGATTAAATTAAATTAAATTAATTTGGGAAGTGTTGGAAGAATCTTTTAAAGCCTATTCTTATATAGAGATAGTCAAAATAATTTTTATAGCTACAGCACATGGAGTTAGAATAATAATTAACCTCTGTGCAGAGTTGTTTCATGGATTTTGGGGAAAGGATATTTGCCCAAGTACCTTACCAGACCTCAATCCAATGAATCTTCAGTCTGGTATTTAATGGAGCAGAGACTCACCTGAACACGATACACGACAACAGAGGCACTTAAGACGGCATCAGAATATTCCTGAGCATCAATAACAGAAGAGGAGTGCGCGACCATAGAAGAAATCTTTCGGAAGCGTTTGGGTGCGTGTATCTCAGCGGCCGGATCTCATTTTGAAAATTTGTTATGAATATTTATTCACAAGATTCTTATAAACGTTTTGTATGTTAAAACTAATTTTTATTTTGATATAAAAGAAAATAAATCCATTTTGATTAATTCCGGGAACTTTTACGCACCCTGTATAAATAGTTAACACTAATATTTTGAAAGTTTTTATTTGTAAAATCTTAACTCAAGTTTATCTTTTTATCTCATAATGCCCCAATATCTCCATAGAATTATTTAAAAAAATTTGACAGATAAACTCCTCAAAATATATAAAATTTAGGGGTGCGTTTATAATTAGTTAACACACTTTATGCTATACTTTAGCTAACTCTTTCCAGATTACCGTACTCTATTAATTACCCTCCCTCAAATAATTAAATTACCCCTCCAGAGAGAGATCGAAACAATAATTACCCAGGGTAATTAATAGAGTATGTACGGTAAATAACGAGACAATAACACAAAAATTTATCAATATTAGTTAAATTCTAAATTAATTTTCTTAAGCATTTGATACAAAAATTAAGGGTTGTTTTCCACTAATTAATTGGTTATCTTCATTATTTCCTCTATTTTCTTCCCTATTATTTATTAAAATTTCTTTTTGTGATTGATTAAATTTTAATCTTCTTTGTTCTTGCTCTTGTTGTAATTGTCTTTCTTGTTCCTCCATAGCTAGTAATTCTGCTTTGAATTGCTCTGTTTGTTGTTCTTCTTGAGCTACTTTGATAAAATTATCGACAATAATTGTGATGGGTAGGGCTGGAAATTGAATTATTTTTTTGGGAATATTTTTTCAGGAAAATATTTAATCCGAATATTTTTTCTGTAAATAAATTAATTAAGAAATTAAAATTTTTCTTGGAAATTAATTAAAACTTAATATTCTTCCGTTACTTGAATAACACAGAATTTTTATTTATCCTCGATGTAAAATACCGTATTTCCTCTATTAGAATGCCATGGCATTCTATTTTTCAATCTGCTTTGAACTATAATTTTAATTTAGATAAAAAGAATTCGGGGGAAATATAAAGATTAGAAGGGGGGTCCATCTTTCGGGAACAAAATGTAAAGTCATTCCAAAAGATTAATTATCTATTTTTCAATCATCTTCAAAGGTGGCATTCTATTAGAGGTTGGAATTCTAATAGAGGAAATACGGTAAGTAATTTTCAGAACTTATTTGTTAGTGCATTTCCGTAAATAAAATAATAGCAATTAAAAATTAATAATCTTGTATTTACTGACCTAATACAAGCACTCCACTCATTATAGCGGCAGAAGCAATTATTTTACCCACTAAAAATTATTTTATTTTAAATTAAAAAATTTTTTTTATTAATAATTATATTTTTATTAATAAATTTAACAAATTTCTCCCTCTTTATAATTACTTGTAGTTGCTGGCACAACATCTCCATACCCGACAGTAGTCATTGTAACAATACACCACCTATATTTAAAATAATTTAAATATTAAATTTTAATTATTTCACCAATAAGCAGCTGGAATGCTGGTGAAGGGTGAACCTTTCTCGTCTTTCTACAATTAATTATTTAATTAAAATAATTTATTTAAAGAAATTTATGTTCAACTTTAATTAACAAATACCTCAAGAAAGTATATCATAGTTGAGAAAAAGACAACCCCAGTTAACAATACAATAGTCATCATTTGCAATTGTTTTTGACTCCTTTAGAAATTTAATCGTGATATTTTATTAAATATACGAATTTATTATTTTTCCAGAAATGAACAATAATTTATGATTGTTCGGAAAATAAATCAAAATTCCATAGCTTCGGAACTAGGGAAAAATCGTCTAAATATTTCTGTTGGTTAAAAAAAGGACTCTACATATTTAATAATTTTGCCTTTCCGATAATTAAATATATTTCATCTCATTCCTGAATTAATAAAATAAAACATCTGATCAGCTTTCAGAAAATAATAATTAGGATATCTTTCCCAGATTAAATCAAATTTTAGTATTTCCTCGAATATTTTCAGAATTATTTAAAATAATTTAAATTAAACACACCTTTGCAAAGTCATTCCAAAAGTCTGCAAACCAGAAGAGAACCGTCCAAGTTTAATTATTCTAATAACCCTTAATACCCTCAAAATACGTACAACCAAAAAAGCCCAACGCAAATCTCTCAACTTTTTGTCATCTACCCCCATTAAAGTCAACATAAGTTCTAAATAAAAGGGCATAATTGCCAGAAGGTCAACCTTCAAATTAAATTTAATTTTTAATTTTTAATTTATTTATTGAGCAACCAAATTGAGAGGTTTCAAAACAAATCTCAATTTTCTCGGTGCCGCAAAAAGCCTCAATAAATATTCTATTGTAAAGAAGGCTATACAAACACGCTCGGTAAATACAAATATTGGATGTTCGATCCTTATTGGTTCTATATCTTCTTGAATTATTTCTGTTCCGTTTGGAAGCATAATTGTCTGGTTTCCAGAAGAGACGTATTCGATAACCTTTTAAGAATAATTTAATAATTTTTAATATTTTCCCGTAAATTGTATTTCTTGTAATTATTTTTCAGAATTAAGTATTTATAATAAATCAAAATTTAGAGCATTTTTTGGATTCCCCCTCCCACCTAGTGATTCACCTGGAGCATCTAAAACGCTTAGGCGGGGGTTAAACGATCTAAAAGGATAAAAGAGAAAGCATGCCACGGTATCTCAGTGGTAGAGCCTTTGTATATGGTGAGGGAAAGCACCTAGCAATAACTGTCAGGAGATCGTAGGTTCGAATCATGCCCGGTGGCTAAACTTACGCTAAACTCTTTCTCTTGTTCGAGTCTTAGTTACTATTTCCATCTTCATGCCTATCATTAATTTTCCTCAAGAAATAATTTCCGGAAATAATGCAAATCAGAATATAAACGGCTCCATTGCTTCCGGTAGAAGCAAGTTTCTATTATAATTATTTATGGTTTACAGACCTGAAAATCAGGTATTGTTCCAAAACTTAAGCCAAGAACTGATATCATAACAAACATTGTTGAAGATAATTCGAAAACCTTTGCCTAAAAGCTTAACATAAAATATATTCCACTCAAAGTGACCTGCATAGACGACCCTGGTCTCTCCAAAAATGTCCACATTCTTCGTCTAAACTGCCCAAATCTCAATTTCTCAAAGCTTGTATCATCCACTTTATCCTCTTTACTTGACTCTAGAAGCCGTTCAAGTGGTGAAACCGAATCAGAACAGCAAGCGCCTTTAAATCAGAATTATTACCCAAAGAGGTGATTTATCTAATTAATTAACCAATATAGCTTGTTGGCACACGCCAAAATTCAAGTTCGGCACTAAATGCGGAAGGACATAATTCAGGGGGTTTGTGCACAACTCCATTAGCATAGTATTGAAAAACTGCTTCAAAAGCAAGTGGTGATCTCTTAATTTAGATTTTATTTTTTAAAATATTTTTCGGAATATACAACATAGTCCGGATAAAATAAACATAAAATAAATGATAAATCAAAATTTTTAACTGTCCGAAAACAAAAAAAAGATAATGATTTTACTTACCTATAACCTGTATTAATTGCCCTCCCTCAAATAATTATCTCACTTCCATTAATTACTCCATTCAGCATAGTATGGGGTATGCTGAATCGTATAACCTCTTATAACTACCCTACCTTGATTAATTACTCCCTCCAGCGGAAGGTCGAAACAATAATTACCCGGGGTAGATATTAAAGGATATACGGTAAATTTACAATCTTCTCTGAAATAGAGAAAGGAAAATCTTATTGAACCCCTCCCAAATAATTAACTAAAGCATTCTAAATACGAAAACAAAATAAATAAAGATAAACTCTTCATAAATTATTATTAATTTTCAAAGCTACTTGGAAATAATAGGCACGTTCAGGGAGCAAAAAAGCATCAGCAACCTAATTGTTTTAAAGTTAATTTATAAATTAATTAAAATTACTTTCAATTTAGCTCTATGAGATAGCTGCACAAATTTGGTAAGGAAGGTACTTGGATCAGCATGCAAAAGAGCTTCAACAAGAACAAAAAAAGGTACTCCTCCAATGTTTAGTCTACATGATTTAAAATAATTTTTAATTAATTTTAAATAATTTTAAATTTATCTTATTAGCTATGTTTGTAAAAAAAGATAAAATTATATAAATATCAAGAAGGCGAAGGATTTTTTCTGTTTCGTAATCTGAAAGGTAATTCTTAAGCAGTTTAGTTATAAAATCCGAGTATGGCTATAATATTCCATATCTCAGGGCAATCTAATACATACTTTTCTCGAAAAATAATAAGATAAATTATCATTAACTCAAAAATATTTAATATTTAGTGTTTAGTGTGCCTATGTTAATATAAAATGTAGCTAGTGTGTGCTAGGGTCTACTACATAGTGATGTTCGAGACTCTCGGTCTTGGTTCAAGTTTCAGTCTCGGAGTTGATTCTCAGTCTCGGCTTTTTATAACTCTCGAACATCACTAGGGTTTATCAAGAATATAGTATAGTCTCGCCTATTCTATTGTTATTTTTGCATTGTATTTATTAGTTACCTCAAAACAACAGAATTTTCCTCTTCCCTAAATTCCGACGGTTGTTGGGGGATCCTCTCATTTTCCCTCTCTTCTGGTTTTTGTTTTATTTTTAAAGTTTTATTTCCATCGCTATTTTCAATTAATGGATCCTTCTCTAAATAATTCAAATTTTCATCTTCTTCAATTACCGCCAAATTTTGATGATTTTCTGATTTTGTTTGATTTTCTGATGTTGATAGATTCTGAATATTTTTTTGCTTAAAAAATTTTTTTTCATTCCCCTACCAAAAACGAGGAGGGATCGCCTTGCATCCAAATTTGGTCCAAAACTGTTCCATTTTGTCTTTCTGCGTGATTCATAGCATCCGTTTTTCTGATTGCCAGGGATCTCTTTTTCCTGTGTTGTTGCGCTGCAGCCATCATATTTCCAGAAATTCTGAGAACAAAAATTAATTTTTAAAAATTATTCTGATTTTTTAGTATTCATTTAAATGTTTTTCAATTTTTTAATTAAAATAATTTTTAAGGGAAAACATCGAAACAAACAATTGAAGCAAAAAGTAAATTAAAACAAACAAAAATCAGAAATTTATCTGAACATTAAAAAAACAAATAAACAGAACAAATCAGAAATAAATCTGAACATGAATAAACAAATAAACAGAAAAAATCAGAAATTAATCTGAACATGAATAAACAGAAATATTTAAATATAAATCAGAACAATTAATATTAAAGAAAACAAACATATCTGAAATCAGAATTTTATCCAAACTTGAAAACCAGAATTTTATTTGAACATTAAAAAGAAATAAGTAAAACAAACAATTAAACAAACATAGGAAAACAAAACAAACTAAACATACATATGAACAAACAAAAAATGTGAAACAAATATGAAACAAACAATTAATTTATGAACACGTGATAAACAATGTTTCAACAAAATAAATAAACATTTAAAAATACATAAACAAATTGAGATAACAAACAAACAGCATTGTTTGCGTCGAAGACGTCAAATATATTTATTCAACATTTTTTAAAATATACCAATATTTTATTAAATTCATTTATTTTGGCATAAATGAATAAAAAAGGCATTTATTTCTTTTTTTCAATTAAAAGCTAACACAAAAAACCCCAAAAAGACAACAAAAATAAACACAAAAAGAAATATAATAATTGACTAAAACCCCCAAAATTTTTTGTAAAGCTAAATTTAATTTAATAGAAGCTCCTTTTCTTTCTTTATTTTCTCCAGTTTTATTATTTTTAAATTTTATTTTAATTTTTTATTTTTTGTTCAAGTGAATGTTTAATTCATTCCTTGGAGCAGGCCAGTGTACCGCGAGCCCAATGTATCGCTGAGCTATAACTTTTTACAGAATTGTCGAATACGTGGCGCTTCGGTATGTTCGATTCAGCTGATCGAGCCGCATCCAACCATATCAGGGCGCCAAGGATACGACAATTTTGGACGTTATAGCTCGGCGGTACATTGGGCTCACGGTACATCGGGGTGTACCCCATAAGCTAATTCAAAGTCCCATAACTTTATGAAAAATAAACAGGATAAAATAAGCATGTAATCATTCGATGGAGAATTAAATTTACTACAAAATAAAATTTAAAAAAATTTTAGAGAAAAAATTAAAACAGTTGTGCCCAAAAATTCAACATTTTTGTCTATTTTTGAAGGTTTTTTGATCATAACTTTTCTGATTTTTAGAGTAAAATTTTAATTTAAATTTTATTTTATAGAAAATTTAATTATCTATCGAATAATACCAAAAAAATTGGAATAGGTGCATCAGAATCCAAGTTTTAAGCCCAAAATTCATCCCCTACTTAACTCAACTTAAGCAAACCCTCTTATAATTATTTCCATATAAATTTGTTTTAAACTTACGGTCTAAGCATAGAAGTAGCGCTAACACTTGCGCAACTCATTTTTAGAGCAATGTGCATACAATTAATAAATTTAAATTTTATATAATTTTTTGAAGACTTTAATTATAAATAATTTATTGAGAATTTTAAGAAAAAATCGGGAATCTCGTTATTAGTAACAGTAAGGGGAAAAATAAATAATAGATTAATATAAATTATATGCTTGGACTCTTTTAAAAGAAAGATGCAGTACCATCCGAAATGTCTTGGTAACGGAGTCGAGTGATACCCTCCTTTCGCGTTTTTAGATTAGTATTCCTTCTCAATTACCAAAAAATTATTATTTAATGTGGGGGTGAACGAAAATTATTGGAGGAGATCGTTGGAGCTTAAATCTTCAGGATCGGCTTTTTCCTGAATTGAGACTTTTGGAGTCTGGATTTATTCAAAAAAAGACGGAGTCCAAGTCCAAACCAAGTCCAAACTTAATATACTTCTGTTAGAAGCCTACCTCTAATATAAGCCCATCCGAGAAGACCCATTGAAAAATTTAAGCCCAGGGCTTATATTAGAATATTTACGGTATACATTTTCATAAAAGAATATTAAAAATTTAAAAATTCATAACTTCTTTTAATTAAGCAGAATAAAAAGGAAGTAAAAATTGACATTCTAAATACAAAGTTAATTTTGGTCTTTGAACAAGGCAGGGGAGGTTTTTATTTAATATAAAATTTCCTAAAAAGAAATAAAAGCAACAAAAAAATTTTTAAATCTTTTTAAAACTTTTTTCCTTTTATAAAATTATTAAAAGCAGCATGAAAAAATATGAAAAAATGAAAAGAAAGAAAAATAGGGGAGGGGATCACTTAAAGAATTTCAAATAATTTTAACCTCAAATTTAATAATTTTTTGAACAACTGACTTTTATTTTTTAGAATTTAATTTCAAAATAATAAAACACAATTTAAAGGGAAAAGTTGAATTATTTTTTGAAATTTTTTATTTTAAAATGTGTGGGAAAAACTTGAAGGCAGTCTATGTTTATGTGAACATGCTTTTTTTAAAAATTCATAACTTTTTAATAAATAAACTTTTTTTAAAGTTTTTGGTATCTTTCGATAGAGAATTTAATTTTCTATAAGATAAGACTAAAAATTTAATTTTAGGTTATTTTTTAATAAAAAGTTATAGTGATGTAAAGGATATAGCTATTTAATTCCTAAGGCTTTGCAGTAGGCGGCTGGTGTAATGGCTAACACATCAGTCCGGTTTACTGAAGATGCTGGTTCGCTCCCAGCCGCCGAATAACCTTTTGCTCTAGCTAAAGGAGAGAAATAGCTATACCCAGCTTTTTTACTGTGAAAATACATGCAAAAACTTAGCGTTTTCTCGAAAATAACTGTGAATTTCAAAGATAACTTTTTCTGGTAAACATTCAAAAATTCTGATTTTTATTTCATTTTATAACAAATTTAATTCTCTATCGACTGATATAAAAATGGAAGATAAAATTAGTTAATAAAAATTTCATTTTATTGACAAAAAATACGTGTATTTATTAAAATTGAGTGTTTATAAAATAAATATATTTTGTACTAATGGACTTTTTTCACACAAAAGCTTAAAACATTAAAAAAAAAGCAATGGCGCAAGTCCGTCTAAAAACAAAAATAAAGGGGTTTTTAATTCCGTTATAGAGAAAAGAGAGAAATGTAAGGTGAAAGGAACACATAAGTAGTGTGAAGGGAACATTATAATTAGTTTAGTTGAGTCTTTGGTTAATAATTCTAGAACAGATGGATATTTTAAAAATCTTTTTATTTCATTCGATAGAGGATTAAATTTGCTATGAAACATCAGAAAATCAGAAATTCAAATTAATTCTGAAAAATGTTATGCGCAAAAACAGACAAAAATAAGCACAAAAACGGGCATTTTTGTCGGTTTTTTGCTTACAACTTTTTTCTTATTTAATTCAAAATTTTAATTTCCTCTCTATTTTGTAGCAAATTTAATTCTCTATCGAATGATATTAAAATCTTTTTAAAAATTTCCAGCTATTCATGAGTTATTCACTCGGGACTCAACTAAGGTATGTTTGGATGTCGTGCCGAGTACAAATTAAAAAGGGAAAATGAAAAGGAGATAAATAACGAACATTTTTTTATTCAAACAAATTAAAATGTAAAAAGGGGGGAGAGACTTGGTGCACAAAGTGACGATATTTTTTTTAAATTAATCCTTTATTTTTTTAAGAATCGATAGAAAAATTATTTGAGTGAATATAGTTAATTACAAGGACATTTTCTATTGAAAATTGTTAAAAAAATATTTTCCGAAAAGCATAATTTCTTTTTATAATTTTTTTCCAGAAATTAAATTATGTATTTTTTAGGATAATACATTCTAATTATGAAAAAAGAAAGAGTTTAGCAAAAGCCTAGCCACCGGGGAGGACCTGTGATCTCCTCAAGTTATTACTAGCCGCCTTCGCTCACCACATACAGAAGCTTTACCGTTGAGCTACCGAGCATCGACTAATGCTTTATCTTTTACCTTTTTTAGATCGTTTAACCCCCGCCTAAGCGTTTTAAATGCTCTATCATCCTTACAAAAAAGAGAGTTCAGTTCCTATTAAAAAGTGTTCAGTCAGTAGAGCACCTACATGTGGTAAGAGAATAACTAGAAGGATGTCGAAGGGTCAATTCTTGGCAGGGGCTTAGCCTTTACCTCTCTTACTACATATATTATACATATTTTCAGGAAAATAAATTCAGGAATAGACATTTGTATTTCTCCAATTATACAATTATCCGGAATATGGTACTTTCCGGATTCTGGTTAGAAAGAGAGAAATAGTCTGTTTTAGGGGATAAAAATGAGAGAAATCTCGTCCATATACCCGCAATTTTCATCCCTAATTTATTAACATAAGCATATTTATATTTTTACATAAATTATATACAACAAAGAAAAATAAAATAATTTAAAAAATTTCAAGAATTTCTTTGGAATTTCCAAAAAAAATTTTTTTTATTTAAAAAACCCACAAATCAAGCAAACGGAAAGGAAGTCTAAAGACAGACAAAAAATTTTTTTTATAAATTTTAAAAATAAAAAAAATAAATGTTGGTTTAATACAAAGAAAATTTAAACTAGCGGAAAGATTAAAAAAGAGTAAAAAAAATTTTAAGAAAAAAATAAATTTTGTTTAGTAAAATTGAACTTGTTTTAAGGAAGGAATGCGTGGGAGAAAAATGGTTGGGTAAAAATATTTTTTGTTGAAAAATGGAATTTAAATTAAAATTTCAACATTTTTTCCTTTCAGAATTTAAAAATAACGCCAAAAAAATTTTTCTCAAAAAACCAAAAATTAATTTAATAATAGAGGCCTAGAGCCCTGAATTTTAGGAAAAAAATGAGAACGGGAAACAAGGGAATCCAAATAACACCAACGGCATTGGTTCCTAAAAGAGTCGAGAAGAGGGAGAAGCTTGAAAACTTATATTAATCTTTGGAATAAAATT